TGGGGATTCGAACCCGCCACCTTAGGTGTATGTGGCTGGCGCCTTAGCCGCTTGAGCCACAGGCGCCGAGCCCATATTCTCATTCTGATTTCCTCCATACAAAACCTCCTCCATTAACTTCTCCCACTTCCCAACCTACCAAGGTGATCTGCTCACTGTCCCATGCAGAAATTTGCTCTTTCCTACCTTAGTCTTCTGGTCCTTACCCTGTCTGGTTCCTACTCAAAGTTTTCTCTGCCCTTCGAATCACATGTTTAAATAAGCCTCCGCCAGAGAACTCTTAATTAATCCTGTCTAATCTGAGCACACTACAATTCCCTCACTTCATTTATTGGACTAATACACGTATGCTTTAAGTCACATCCTGTGTATACCCACAACAAAAGCAATTTTAGTAAAATGAGCATAGACTGTGTCTAGGGATTCCTTTGTATTTTCCTGGAAGAACCTAGTTCATAACCTCCATTTCTGAGCTAGTCAAAATACCATGCAAGTTCTGACGATGATATGGTATCCACGCAAGGACAAATACGTGTTTAACTAAGGACCAATGAAAATGGTACTGAAGATTCTGAGGCTCTGCAGGGGACTGGGTGGGCTGTTTGCTTTTCTTCTTTATGCAGGCTGTACGAACTCCCCCTACTGAGATAGCAAGTGGCTGAACACAAGGCTGTATCCTTTTTGTGCCCAGCATTCCCTCCTCCAAAACCCGTTAAGAAGCGAGCAGCACTGCCCTCCAACGACCGCCGTTTTCCTGATTGTTGGGAGGACCAACAATCCTGGAGGAAGAGGGAGGCGGGAGCATTTAAGGCCGGGGAGGCACTCAAGCCTTTCCCATGGATTTACACCCAACACGTATGCAGGAAGGCAAATTACAAACACCGACGCCCACAACCACATATACACGTGCACGCCCAGCCCCACAGAAGCAAACGCGCATGCCCGTGGGCCCGCGCGCACCCACTTAGTTTTCTTCGCCCGAGACGTCCCCATTGCGCCCCCGCTTGGCCCAGCCCAGCGTCCCCTACCCCGGCCCTGAGGAGGTTTACCAGGCCGTGCAGGGCCTGAGGAAAGTGTTTCTCTGTAGGGGGGAGGGGAGGTCCTGCCCACCCGGGCGGAAGCGGCGCGCGCTGGCCGGGCAGACTTAGCTTTCGTCCTGGGAACATCTGGAGCGGGCTGGGAGGGGCGCGCATGCAGGGTGAACGTGGATTGGCTACGCGGGAGGAGGGAGGCGGGGTCTGCTCGAGGGGCGGGGCTCACTGGCCCCTTTAAAGCCTTGACATCAAGAGAGGCGGCTCCGGCACCCCCTTTCTCTGTCCCCCCGCCCCCGATCCGCAGCCATGGACCTGGCGGATCCGGCCTGCCGTGGTCCAGTTCAACACCTGATTTTAGTGAGTTCTGGGCCTACTTGGGATTTAACGGGCGACGTGAGAATGGGAAGGGATCCGTAAGCTCCGGGCCAGGGGGTGGGGGGTGTGGAGGGTAAGGCTTTCGTGGCAGCATTGGGTAGGAGGGGGCGTCACGGCTTCCTACCCAGACCTCGCTGCCTGCCCCTCCTTCCCGCCGCACTCTCCCGGGGCAGGGGGTGTCCGGCTGCTGCTCTGCCCACCCCCACCCCTCTCCCTCCCGCCCCCCGCGCCGTCCTCGCGCACACTCCGTGGCCCCGGAAGGGAAACTTTCGGGAGTGGGGTATGTTCCGGGGGCCGGTCACCCTCCCTCTTTGGAAGCTCTGACCTTGCCCCAGCTGCGCATCCCACCCCGACCGCATCCCACAGTTGAGGTGCCGCTTAACGGTGCCAGGTTGTTGCGCCAGGCAGAGGGGGACTCGATTCCCAAAGCGCAGGCGCGGAGACGAGCCTGGGTGTCTTTTCGCACTCAGTCCAGTCCCTGTGGCCTGGGGTGGTAGGGCGTGGGGGAGGTGGGGAGAGGCGGTAAGACCCGATCTCGGTGAACTACCCTTTGGGCTTTGAGGGGCTGCGGGAAAGGAGGAGGGAACCTGGCAGGCTGCACGCTAAAGAGAAGCTGAGGGAAAAGGTTTGGGCAGGGAGTAGGGACTGGGCAGCGCCTGCAGAAAAGGCTCTTTGGGTCCTGGCTGCGGTGCCAAAAGAATGCAGAGAATTTATCTGTGCCTGACTAAGAAAGCGGCTGTCCGGACCCCAGCTCCCTTCTCTTTATCCTTGGCCCAAGGCCCCGCGGTCTCTCCAGCCCTGGCACTGCCCCAAGGCCACGGAGGGCCCTCACCTCCCACAGGCCTCATTTTCCAGGCATCTCAAGCTTGGATCAGCCGAGCCCACCCAGTCTCTCCAGCTGCTACTTCTTAAAGATTTGCCGGTGTCTTAAGCTGAGGGGCTCTCTGGCTGTAGAGACATTCCCCTTTACCACTTCCCCCCTTGCCATGGATCCTCCTGCTGAAGAACATTTGTCAGCCAGAGGAAGTGCTTGGAGGCAGAGGCCTGGGACAGGAGTGGTCCTGGGAAACAGCAAAGAGGGGGGTCAGTGTCTAACCGTTTTGTGGCCAGTAGTTTTGGGTAAATGAACCTAGCCCAGATACCTTACAGAAGACCCTCTCTTGCAGACATTATGTCACCTTGGCTTGCAGTAAGGCAGACATACAAAATTCACTTTTGAATTGCTCCTCCATTTTCCTAAGAATAAGCTAAGGTTAGTGTGTTTTCTACCCCAGGGAAACCATGTACATTCCTGTATGTGGAGATACTCTCACATAGTTCACATTTGTTTTCAAAGTCTGTGATCTTTGCATGAGGTTGCTTCAGCTCTCCATATTACTCCAGCTCCAGCCTTCTGGGAGAGTGAGAACCTGGAGAGGCAGATGTCCTGGGCTGGAGGGAAGAAGGCTCTTTATGATAGGCAGGCAAAAACCTACGTGTATGGGGATCAAGCTGCTATCAATATGGACTGTGAGTCAGAAGCTCTGGACCCTGCTCCTCCTACCTTGCTATGTGACCTTGGCCAAGTTTGCCTCTCTGGGTTGAGTTTCCCCTACTGTTAAAACTGAGCAGTTAGACTCAAAAGCTCTAACATTCTCTTCCACTTTTTGACATTGAATGGTTTCTCTGATGGGTGAATCTCTAGGAGAGAAAGGTCCTTTGGCAAGATGGCTCAATTTAGAGAGATAGAGTGTTGGATAATATGGCTCTAAATCACAGTTACTTGGGATTAGAGCTTTGTGGTAGACAGAGCAAATTCCTTTATTCTGCTTCTATAGTCTCTGTCCTTCACAACCCTGGTGCCTTGGGATATGAACTCCTGCTGGCTTGGGTTTGGCCCACCCATCAAGGCCCCTGATGAGACATCCTGGCCAGGCCAGTCTTTGAGTAGGTCCTTTGGGGAGGAGCTGAAAGAAAAGGAGGCAGCCAAGGGCCAGAAGGGTAAGCAGATTCCCAGGAGACAGTTTACATCTCAGCTGTTGGGACTTGTTTTAGGATCTGGGCCAGGGAACACAGCACACTCACCGCCCTCTTATGGGAAGAAGGCAAGGAGGGCCCCATGCTGTTGCCTGTCCCACCCCTTGGCCCTACCCACCCCACCTCTGCCCTGATACCCCCAGCTCCCAAGCAGGGGACTAAGGTATGTTCCCTGCTACCCTTACCCAGCCCAGCCAGCTACCCTGTCAGTCCAGCCCCGTAGAAGCATCAGCAAGGAAAAGCTGCCCCCACCCCATCTTTCCCAGCCCTGTTTCCTTCTGGGGGTAGAGCTTTCTCAGGAGTCAGGCTGTCCAGGTTGGGACTTGCTTTCCAGCCAAAGAGCCAAAGACCTTCGAGTTCTTGTTTGTTTTCATCCTTGGTCTCCCAGGCAAAGGGAAATGTTGAAGGATAGGTGGTGGTTTAGGGCACTGGGTTTGCTTGGATATTGGGCACATTCTCCCATATTGCATTTCCCTCTGCTGGCTCTCCTGGGCCTGGGGAGCCCTCTGCCCTCGACCCTGCTGTCTATCAAGATGAAGTTGCAGCAGAAAGTATTTAGGTTAGACCCTAAGGAAACCTTCCTCACTGCTGTGTGCCCTTGGATAATGGAAGTTCCCAGGGAGGTCAGTTTCCCAGAAAATGGTTAATGGTGGAGTCGCTGTCAGAGTGAAGGATGCAGCTGTTACTAGGCAGAGACTGCTGCTGCTCCCTCTTGGGGTGTGGCTCTGAGGCTGGCCAGCCAGAGTCCCTGATAGAAGCAGGAGAGAGGATCTTTGCCTGACAACCAAAGTGGGTCCAGGGTCATGAGAGCCACATCTCAGAACAAATGCCCTTTCTTGCCCCGTGTCCCTCAGCCCCTCCCCTAGTTCATCACCTTCTACCAGCAGCTCCTCTGACAACCCACACCCAGACCTGGCAGCCTCTTCCAGCCCCAGTTTGGCAGCATTAATGGACTGATTGGATTTTCTGTACTTGGAGTTTGGGATTTCTGATTGAACATGCAAATTTATGTAAATCAGTTTGGGATCTGCCACCACATCAAAACATAGAGCCATAGGCTGGAAGGAGTCTTGGAGACAGTCTAGTCCAACGTCTTTATGTTAAAAATGGGGAAACTGCAGTCCAGAGGGGGAAGTGATTCATACAGTGGTGAGTGTCAGGCAGGACTCCTGACTCTAGTCTATCCTTTTACATAGAACTACTCTGCCTTAATTTTTTATGCATGAAGAAGCCTGGCAGAATTTAAAAGCAGGGAGAGAGCCAGGGCTGGTGGCTCGCATCTGTAATCCCAACACTCTGGGAGGCTGGAGGCAAGTGGATTGATTGAACTCAGAAGTTTGAGACCAGCCTGAACAAGAGTGAGACCTTGTCTCTAAAAAAAATAACCTGGCATGCTCCTGTAGTCCCAGCTACTTGGGAGGTTGAGGCAAGAGGATTTCTTGAACCTGAGTTTGAGGTTGCTATGAGATAATGATGCCACAGCACTCTACCGAGGACAATCAAGTGAGACTCTAAATAAATAAATAAATACATAAAGCAGGGAGGGCTGGTTCTTGAACCTGAGGTTACAGAGAGCTGGCCCTTGGAGGGTTAAAGTATTATCCTAGGGCCTGGTCAGCTTTCTACCATGCTGAAAAAAACTACTTCAAATCCCTTAGAATAAGCAAGACCCTTAACATTTACCAGCAGACACTGTGTGGAGGGTTGGAGGACAGGTCAGCAGTTGCCCAGGCTTGGCCCTGGAGCTAAGATTTTGTCTGTTTCCAGCATCTGTTACAGTAGTAGGCATGTGGTAGGCTGTAGATGGATCTGCATATGCAGTGCTTCCATCTTTACCCTTCTCTCCCTGGTCACAGTGGGAAAAGATGTTTTGTCTCCTGTGACACTTTGTCTACCCTCCCTTATCCTCTTGGAGGGCATAGGCCAGCTGGGCTGCCTCTACAGGTTTCTACAGCACTGACCAGACAGGCTTTGCTCTCATTATTTTAGGATGAGTGGCAAGGAATGGAAGGGGGCTACAGAGATGGGCTTGGGTCCCCAAGAAACAGTCTCACCACTTCTTGACCTGTTCTTGATCTGATCCAGCCTCCCGCTGCAAGATGCACCCCACTCCCACTTCATGCTGCACCTGTGGCATGAGACTGTTAGAGGGCTGAGCTCTCACTCTCTCTGTGGTAGAGATGGCAGAGATGGTTAAGGCAGCTGTCCATCTGCTTTTCATATTCTGGGAGGGTGATATGTGGGCTCAAGCAAAGGCCCTGACTCCCAGCCAGAGCTATTTACCAGCCCCTACTGCAGCCTGGTAGGGGACTGGGGACACCTATCTGGAGTATTTCTTCACCTTCTCCCCAAACCCAGGTCTGGATGGCTCTAGAGTAAGTGCCCCTGACTTTAGTATCCTCCCCAAACACAGCAGGCGTGGAGAGGCACCTTTAGTTCCCACTGCCTAGCGGCCCTCAGCACCTATATCCTTAGCTTCATGTGAGGAGAAATTCCTCTCCCTGGGCCTCAGTTTCCCAGCCAGTATTCATATATTAGTAATACATCATCATTGGGGTGTGGCACCTGCTTGGTAATTACCGTTTTCCCAGCTCTGGGATTTGTGCACATGAAAGAGCCCTGAGGAGGCCAGGCTATTATTAAGGTGAATTATCATGGCTGTTATTACTGATTTCTAAAAACCCAGCAGCCACTGAGAAGAACCCAGTCAGGCACAGGACCCTGAAATTTATTCCAGTCCTTTAGCTCTGATAGTTGTCCAATACTCACTAACTTTTTTTAAAAAGTGTATCAATATTTTAAAAGGAGAGAAGACCCCATGCTGCTGCTCCTGCTGTTGCCTGAAGGGCTGGATTAGCAGGTGATACTGGGAGTCCCTGCTTCTCATTCGTGTAGTTCAGCCCCTGCCCCTAGACACTTGGATAGAATGATAGAGGTTTTTCTAAATAGGGCTGTGAGGGGCCTTG